TTTTTCACAGAAATAGAAAAAACAATCCCCAAATTAGTAGGGAACCAAAAGAGACCCCAAATAGCCAAAGCAATCCTGAGCAAAAAGAACAAAGCTGGAAGTAATACATTACCTGACTTCAAAATATATTTCAGGCTGTAGTAACCAAAACAGCATTAACCCTGGCATAAAAACAGAAACATAGAACAGTGGAACAGAATAGAGAACTCAGAAATAAATCCACTAACTTACAGCCAACTCATTTTCAATAAAGGCACCAAGAATATACACTGGGGAAAGGACAGTCTCTTTAATAAACGGTGCTGGGAAAACTTGGTATCCATATGCAAAGTAATGAAACTAGATTCCCATCTCTTACACTGTATACAAAAATCAACTCAAAATGGATTAAAGACTTAAATGTAAGACCTAAAATGATAAAACTACAAGAAGAAAACATTGGGAAAATGCTACAGGACATTGGTCTGGGCAAAAACTTTTTGAGTAAGACCTCAAAGGCATAGGCAACAAAAGCAAAAATAGACAAATGGCATTATATTAAGCTAAAAAAATTTCAGCACAGCAAAAGTAACAATTAACCAAATGAAGACACAATCCACAGAATGGCAGAAAATATTTGCAAATTATCAATTTGATAAGAGATTTATAATCAGAATGTGTAAGGAAGTCCAACTCAATAGCAAAAAAAAAAAAAAAAAAAAAAAAAAAAAAGCTGATTTAAAAATAGGTAAAAGACATCAATACATATGTCTCAAAATAAGACATACAAATGGCCAACAGGTACATGAAAACATACTCAACATCACTAGTCATCAGGAAAATACAAATCAAAACTACAATGAGATATCATCTTACCCCAGTTAGAATGTCTATTATCAAAAAGATAAAAAATAAGAAATGCATGCAAGGATGCAGAAAAAAAGAAGTGCCCATTCACTACTGGTGAAAATAAAGTAGTATAGCCATTATGAAAAACATAGAGGATCTTCAGAAAACTAAACAGAACAGTATTATATAACCCGGCAATCCCACAGCTGGGTTGATATCCAAAAAAACAAAAAAAAAGGAAATCAGTGTATCAAAGAGATATCTGTACTCTCATGTTTTTTTGCAGCACTATTCATATTAGCCAAGATATGGAATCAGTCTAAGTGTTTATTAATGAATAAATAAAGAAAATGTGGTATACAGATACATGAAATATTGTTCAGCCATAAAAAGAATAAAACCCTGTCATTTGCAGCAACACGAATGGGACTGGAGATCATTTTACTAACTAGAATAAGCCAGGCATAGAAAGACAAATACTGCATGTTATCACTCATATGTGGGAGCTAAAAAAAAAGCAGAACTCATGCGGGTGGAGAGTAGAACGGTGGCTCCCAGAGGCTGGGAAGGGAAGAAAGTGTGGGATGAAGTTGGTCAATGTTTACAAAAATAGATAGAAGGAATAGGTCCCAGTATTTGATAGTACAGTAGGGAAATTATAGTTAACAGTAACGTATATTTCAAAAGAGCTAAAAGAGAAGAATTGTAATGTTCCTAACACAAAGAAAAAAAAGTTTGAGGTGTTGGATAGCCCAATTACTCTGACTTGATCATTATGCAGTGTATACATGTATCAAAATATCACATATATACCCAAATATGTACAACTATGATATATCAATTAAAAAAAAAAAAAACATGTCCCAGAAGTTACATGATACACTTCTGCTTACATCCCATTGGATAGAACTGAGTCACCTGACAACACCTGGCTGAGGGAAGTTGTGAAATGTGGACTTTATTCTAGATAACTATGAGCCTAGCTACAAATCAGGGGTTCTACTACTAAGGAAAAAGGGCAGATGGTGTACTGAGAGAACACTAACAATCTCTGCATCAGGTAGAAACAGGAACTCAATTGGAATTCTGGTAGAGAGTTAGAAAAGAGAACTAGGCCAGGTACAGTGGCTCACGCCTGTAATCCTAGCACTTTGGGAGGCCAAGGCAGGCAGATCATGAGATCAGGAGTTTGAGACCAGCATGGCCAACATAGCGAACCCCATCTCCATTAAAGATACAAAAATTAGCTGGGCATGGTGGCATGTGCCTGCGGTCCCAGCTACTCGGGAGGCTGAGGTAGGAGAATCACTTGAGCCCGGGAGGAGTGGAGGTTGCAGTGAGCTGAGATTGCGCCACTGCACTCCAGCTTGGGCAACAGAGTGAGACTTCATCTCAAAAAAAAAAAACAAATGACAGAGAGAGAGAGAGAGAGAACTAAATGCTGACTAGGTAGTAAGAACGTGTCCTGCTGCTCTGTTTGATTTATTGAACTAGTCAGTTACCCTGATGGCATCAGATACTGGGGGTGAATACCCTGTGTCGCACACTCATTCCTGGAACTTGGCTCTGCAATCATTCCAACACAGAACTCATAACTGGGGATGGGGTTGCAGTGGTTCCCTAAAGAGATAGGCTTGTACTTTTTTACTTGTAAGAGCTCTTTGTTTACTGAGGATTGAGAATAAGTTTTTGTCTAATATGTTGCAAATGGTTCTGGTTTCTCATTTGCACTCTACCTTTATACTGATATTATCATAGTGGCATGCTATTGTTTTGACATATAGAAATTTTACATCTGAGAAAATATTCTTTGCCTTTACATTTTTTTAGCTCTTCTGTTAGAATGGTCTTTTCTATCCAAGGACCTAATAAATATTTACCTATGTTAATTATCTTATTTTACTAACTGAATTATTTTTGTGTCAGTGAGAAGTTGCATTCTGCTGTTCATGTGCTAAAAACCTGACAGCAGCTTAAGGAAGAGAGATTCCTTTTTCTCAGCTAATAGTTTAAGGCTGGTGTGGTGGACTTATGATACCTTCAAGAATCTAAGGTCATTCACATTTCTGTTCCACTATAATTAACATTAGCTTTTCCTAAAGTTCACAAACTGACTGCTACAATCTAGCCATCACATCTGAGGTTCATTAGGAGGAAAGGAGAAGGGCAAAATATAAAAGTTGCATGCCACCTGGATCCATCTAGTTTATGAGGAAGTCAGTATCTTCCCTAGAAACCTCATCTGTTATATTTCTCACTGGCCAGAACGACTGCATCGCATGGCCAATTCAGGCAAGAAAATCTCAGAAAGATGAGTATTTTAGTATGACTACGTTGCTGTCCTGAAAAAAATCTGACTCCAGTATTAAAGAAGGAGGAATGGATATTGGGTAGATAACACTGTTTATTATCATTTTCCACCTAGACTATTTTTTCCTATATGATATTTAAAAAGTTAATTTTTTCCAATTAATCGCCTTTCTCAGCATCTTTATTAAATAAGCCATCCTTTCTTCAATGATTTGACATACAATATATTATATTTTAAACATATAGAAATTCCAATTCCGATACCTTCAGAGTGGCACCTGAAAGACCATCCTTCTCCAGATGACAGCTATAAACTTTTGACAAAATATCGACAACAACCATTGAAAGCAGTGGAGATTAAGTAAGAGCAGACAGCAAATGGAGGGTTATTGACACTTGGAAGAAGGAAATAACAGTAGCAAGTTTCCCAATTTTATAGCTTTATGCCTAAGGGCAGCCTCAGTCAGTGTCTGAGATAGAAACTTGCCATCTTGCCAACATGAATAGCTAGAAGGAAGAGGTTGGGGTTACCATAACAGCTGGAATGTAAAGGGGCATATACTGGAAAGGAGAGTCACAGTGGAGAAACACTGAATCCTATACATAAGCTCTGTCCAAATCTCTAGTTGTTCTCTGAACCATGCATGAGCAATGCAGAAACCAAGCATCCAAGTTAATATTCAAATAACTGAACAGACATTTCAGCCGATACTTACTACAAAAGACAGTTTCACCCAAGTTAACTGCCTACTTAAAAAAGAAAATCACCACTCTTTGGAGGAATGTGACAGAATCCAGGCACTGTACAATGTATCATTCACAATATCCAGGATACAATACAAAATTAACACCCATACAAGAATAATAAGTATAACCCATACTTAGGAGGAAAGGCAATCAATGAAGACAAATCTTAAAATGATCCAGACTCTAGAATTAGCAGACACAGATTTTAATGCAGTTGCTATAACAATGCTCAGTAAAGAGTGGAGGGTCTCAGGTCACCTCTACTCTCCCCTCCTGAAAACGGTATTAATAATAGTTTATCCTATTAGGCAGATGTCCACATATCCTCCAAAAAACTTGAGTCAGAATTAAGCAGTCTGGTGAGCGTTTTTTTAAAAAGTGGTTTTGGGTAGAAAAGCAAAGACAAGATTTTGTTTTGTTTTGTTTTCTTGAGACAGAGTCTCACTCTGTCACCCAGGCTGCAGTGCAGTGGCATGATCTCAGCTCACAGCAATCTCTGCCTCCCAGGCTCAAGCGATTCTCCTGCCTCAGCCTCCCAAATTGCTGGGACTATAGGCATGTACCCAGCTAATTTTTGTATTTTTAGTAGAGACAGGGTTTCACCATGTTGGCCAGGCTGGTCTTGAACTCCTGACCTGAAGTGATCTTCCCGCCTCAGCCTCCCAAAGTGCTGGGATTATAGGCATGAGCCACCATGCCCAACCAAGACAGGGGTATTTAAATCCCTTTTGTGAAGAAAGTAAAGCATACCCTTTCCATTGTCAACAGGTCACTGAGTTGGCAGAGAGCACTTGTCAAACCCTTGGATCCCCAGCACTTGGGTCAGAGGTGGAAGAGTTAACAGCTGTGGAATTACATGGCTCTTTTATAGCCCAGACTGTTTATCACCCTTACTAAAACCCTAACCAGTCCCTCTTCACTGAAGGCTGTCCTGCATCCCAACCCCACCCCATGCCTTCAATACCTTAATATTCTTCTTTTCAGAATTCAATACAGCAGGATAATTTCCTTAGGGAATCTACAGAAACTAAGACTGCCTACTACAGATAAAGATCAGCTCTCTCAGAAGCCGAAACAGTCCACCTATTAACCCATTTCTTTAATCTATCATTTAGGAAAAGTGGCTTATCCAATGATTTCTGCCTATTCTGCAAGCAAGTTTGCTTTGGATGGGTTCTTCTCCTCCATCAGAAAGGAATATTTAATGTCCGAGGTCAATGTGTCAATTACTCTCTGTGTTCTCGGCCTCATAGACACAGGTAAGGTCAAGACTTTGGAATAATGACCTGCAGATGAACTGTCTGCCTTACCATTGTGGATAAACAAGGGTGCTGAACTCCCTGACCTCATGGGCAATGCACTAAGAACCAGTACAGAAAGCACTAGCTCTCTCATTTGATGAGCATTTCTGTTACCAGTGGAGGCTCTGGCTACTCTTTTATTTTTATTTTTATTTTGAGACAGAGTTTCACTCTCGTTACCCAGACTGGAGTGCAATAGCGCAATCTCGGTTCACTGCAACCTCCGCCTCCTGGGTTGAAGCAATTCTCCTGCCTCAACCTACTCAGTAGCTGGGATTACAGGCGTGTGCCACCATGCCCAGCTAATTTTTGTATTTTTAGTAGAGACGGGGTTTCACCGTGTTGACCAGGATGGTCTCGATCTCTTGACCTCGTAATCCACCCACCTCGGCCTCCCAAAGTGCTGGGATTATACGTGTGAGCCACCGCGCCCGGCCAGCTCTGGCTGCTCTTTACTCTCCTTTCCATTTTGATTACCAAGGTTGCTGGGTGTCACCACATTCATCACTTAACCCTTTGCTGAACACCTTATGCCCTCATGGACACTCAATGGCCATTACCTTTCTATATGAGACTTATCAGATACAAGTCTGTGTTTCTTAAGTAATAAGACACACTGGTATCATGAACTCCTTGATGTGATGTGCTGAGAAGGACACAACATCATTTTGTGAAGTTCTTGCCAAAATGCATGACCCCACTCCAATCATAAGAGAATAATGTACAAACCCAAAATCAAGAAAAATTTTACGAAACATTTGGTCAGTATTCTTCAAAAGTGTCAAGGCCATGAGAGACAAGGAAAGACTGGCTGGGCGTGGTGGCTCACGCCTGTAATCCCAGCACTTTGGGAGGCCGAGGCGGGTGGATTGCTTGAGGTCAGGAGTTTGAGACCAGCCTGGCCAAAATGGTGAAACCCTGTCTCTGAAAAAAAGAAAAAAAAAAAAAAGGAAAGACTGAAGAATTGTCACAGATTGAAGCAAAAATAGGAAGAAATTACTACCAAGTGGAATCCTGGATAAGATCCAGGAACATAAAAAGAACATTAGTGAAAAAATTAAGGTCTATAGTTTAATTAATAATATTGTATCAGTTCCATTATTGTACCTGTTCTAAATCACTGCGCGATGGTTATGTGTGATGTTGCAGCTAGGGGCAGCATATGTGAAACATAAGGGGGAACTGTGTACAATTTTTACAACTTTTCTGTAAGTCCAAATGCAAGTTTATCTAAAATATGTGGCAGATACTATAAGAACATGCTCTTTGAAGAGTAATTGAGTAGTAGTTAGAGAATTAGAGAGAGAGACACTGAGGCCCAGAGGGAAACAAGAAAGGAATGGAGAAAGAGAAACTGTGCAAGAAGGACATGAAAACTTGGAAGGGGAGAGAAGTGAAACTGGATAGTGGTAACAAGGGGGCAAAACCCTGGGTTCTTGTGTATCTCTTCCTTTTACAAAACAGTAAGTCATTATCATACAGCACTCTGGTTTTGCCCACTGCCACTTCCCATTAGCTATTGAATTATGAGACTGCTACCCTCAATCTGCTCCCCCATATTACTTCTCCACCCCCAACCAAAATACCCAAGAGAGAAATACAATTCAGATCTCCCAGGTAATCACCTCTAACTGCCCCCACCAGTCTCCATCCAGAAAGGCAAGGCCCCTACTAACACTAAGGCCTCTCTTTGCCCAACAGACTTTAACATACCCAGTTCCTCCATGTGCTCCCTATACAGCCTGTGAGGCTTGCAGAGCAAACCCTAACAACCCCTGATAGCTAAGCAGTTGATGTCTCCAGGCTTTCCATGACGTAGACTATCCCACTCTCGGATAACCCTACTCTTCCCTTGTAATTCTACAGACACAGCCATGAAGGCAGTTTCTGGGATAATCAATATGCAAGCAGCTCCAAAGGAGGAATGTGCCCTGGAGATCATCAAAGGGGGAGCTCTGCGCCAAGAGGAAGTATATTATGACCGCTCACTCTGGACCACTCTCCTGCTGAGAAATCCATCCAGGAAGATCCTGGAATTTCTCCATTCAACGAGTTATAGTACAGACAGAGTGATAAACTAGGGACTCCCTGAGGGCTAGACATGCCGAGGGATCTTGGGACTATTCTGTGTCATATTTATCTGAGCTCTTATCTATGAAGACATCTTCCCAGAGTGTCCCCAGAGACATGCAAATCATGGGTCACACCTGACAATGGGAAGGAATTCCTCTAACATTTGCACAATGGAAATGTAATTATAATGAATGCCATGCACCGCTACAGCCTGCAGTTGTAAAATTGTTAGTAACCATAGGTATAATTACCAGGTAGTTATATTAAATTTATCTCTTATACATAATAATATGTGATGATTAATACAAAATTAATTATAATAAAGGTCACATAAACTTTATAAATTCATAACTGGTAGCTATAACTTGACTTTATTCAGGATGGGTTCTTTAAAACCATAAACTATACAAATGAAATTTTTCAATATTCATTTCTTATTTTCTGAGTGGAAGAAATCACCCTAATCTTTGTTTGGTGGGGGATATTGTGTCTTTATCTTTTCTGAATGTTTCTGATATTCTTCACATTATTGCATACTGCTCCTCTGGGAAAGAAGACACCTTGACACAAGGCACTAGGGCAAACCCAGGAAAATGGAGGTTCCAGAAACTTGAGCCACAGACCCAATGCCCATTATGGCTCTCAAAGGACATCAAGCATCTGTACTTTACATGTGAACTCTAAACTCTACAGTGGAAGTTTGGAGAGGGAGAGTTAGAGTTCAAATCCTGCCACTCATTTAGACATTTATTCATTCAACAAATATTTAGTAAGCACTAACTAGGCATCAGCTAACTATGATCAAATGGGAAAGAAATTATCAGCAAGATGAATGTTGGAAACGGGTTCTCAGTATCACAAATAAGTCAACACTGAGACTATGGATCGTACAGCAAGGCAAGTTTTACTTTCTGCAGAAAGGGTGCTGCTCAGTGGCCACCAGAGCACCCCTAACAAAGAGGGCAGGAACAATTATAACCTGACGCAGCCACACTACTGATGTAGGGACTTCACATTCTACACTTGACCCAATTGGCTAACAACTTAAAACTTTCCTAAATAGGCAAGTGAAGAGAGAACAAAGAAAAGAGGAAGTTAGTTACAGGATGGTCAGGAAGTGCTACCAAATAAGGAATGGCATGGACTATGACCTAGGCTCCCCAAGGCCTGTCCAGACATGCCATGCCGGCGTAAGCTAAAGTAGCTAACCAGGTTAGAGTATGGAACTAACAGCGAACAAGGACGTTTAGCATATGGAATGGCTATTCTTTAGTGTTTAAAATGAAACTTTGAAGAAGAACTTCTCTATTTCTTACAATGAACAGCTCAGCAAAGCCCTATATTGATCAGGGCCCAAGAAGTAAGAGATGACACCCTCAAATTGGGTAATTTTAGTAGCATTTAATAAAAAGAGGGGCAAGGCATAGGGAAATCACAAGAGACAGTGGTATCTCAGCGTTAGCTGCAGCTGTTTCCGCCCTAAGGCCCACAGGGACAAGAGGAAAGACCTGTTACCAAAAGCCCAAGATGGAAAGACCTGTATGGAGAGTGCCACATGGCAGGAGCTGTGACGTTCAGTTAAGAATGCAGCCAGCCCACCAGGGATTGTGAAGGGGGTATCTAGGGGAACAAACACCCCAGCCTCACACTCTTCCCTCCCTCTGATCTCTGGCCAGTGTTTCTCATTAGCTGAACAGAGGGGCAAGGGAGCAAATAAATATAGACCATACAGGTCAGCTTCCCCATGTACAGAGCAGATGGAAAAGAATACAAGGTGCTCTGGAAAAATGAATGTAGTATATCCATCAGGGACCCCAATACTTCTAAACATACAGCTTCCATGGTAAGTAATGCTGGGACATGAGACGTGTGCCTGAAAGTGCAGGAAAATTTTCTTTTCCCACCTCTGAATCTAAATGGCTGGGCAACAGAACAAATTGGAATCTATTCAGCCTGCCAGCCACACAGACAAAGGGCTGGATCTGAGCATGCTAATATGGCTGCACTTGTCTTAGAGGTCCTTCCAAGGCTATGCTCAGTGCAAGGGGGCAGGAGAGACCTGACTGCATCCATGTGCAAAAACGAAACAAAACAAAAAGGGCCAAAAAAATGTAGTCTAGTTTCTGACCTGAAATGCACCATACCTGCAATGTGGCCTAATGAATGTCTTGGTTTCTGATCAATCAGGTTAACACTCTCAGTCTCTTGTAGAAATGAGACTCCTTCATAGTGAGATGAAGTGCAGTAATTCCTTTACTCAAGGGTAGAGATAATATTAAAGCTGAGTTAGAATTTGCTTGGGGAGAGGTTAAACCTCTTTCTAAATGAGATTTTCTTCAGAATCCAAAGGGGAAGATCTCAAAAAGTAGGTCTGAGAACTGAAAGCATCTACACCCACATAGCTTATTATCTTCACTAACATGATGTTAACATTCCATTCTCTGTATCATCATGACTTTACTATTCCAAGGAACTCTTGGCCGCAAAAATAAATGTCGTAAACCCATTTAAAAGTGCTAAACTTTTCAATAGATAGCATCAAATGACTGCTACTCTTAAAGACTGCTTGGAACTCTTAGTTCCAAACCCCGGCTTCACTGTGCTCACCAATCTCCAACTATGGCCTCACAACCCTTATCCAATTCAAACAAAGTCACCATGCTGAAGTCTCACCTTAACCTAAATTTCAAAGCCCCATAAACACCCTGACTTTACCCTGTCCACTCTCAGAATCTATTACGAGTCCATCAAGGCTGCAGCTTTGCCTTACCAACAGGTGTTTTGGTGGTCTCTTTTAGGGAGCCAGCATTCAACAAGTCCTTCCTAAGAAGTCCTCTCAAGGGTCCTCATCCAGTTCCTAACCTGGCTCCTCTTCCACTTAAATATCTGTACCCCTCTCTCAGGAGTGCCAGGGGTTCCAGTAGCTGGTTCCAATTTCAGTGGTACCAGCAATACAATGGCCCTTGTCTTTGGACTAGCTCCACTTAAAAGAACCTAGCCTCCTAGCTCACTTTATCATGAGCTCAGAAATATACATCCAAGGATGTCCATTTTCACATCCTATGTGGAAGCCAGATGTGCATCACTCACTCCTCACTCACATTAACACAAAAATTCAGCAATTCTTGGTAGATTCCTAAAGAAATTCTATTCTCACTAAAAGTATAAGTAAACAAGGTAGCATTTGCAATACGCAAGGTAGCATATCTCAGAGGGGAGAAGGACGACTAAGTTTACATTAATTCAGGGTGCATCATTTTTTGTTATTGAGACAGGGTCTTGCTCTGTCACCCAAGCTGGAGTACAGTGGTATGATCATGGCTCCACCGCAGCCTTAAACTCCTGGGCTCAAGCAACCCTCTGGTCTCAGCCTCCCAAGGAGCTGGGACTACAGGCATGTGCCATCATTCCCCGCTGATTTTTAAAAAATTATTTTTAGTAGAGACGAGACCTTGTTACATTGCCCATGTTGGTCTCAAACTCCTGAGTCAAACAATCTTCCCACTTCAATCTCCCAAAGTTCTGGGGTTACGGGCATGAGTCACTGTGCCCGGCCTGGTGTGCACCATTTAACTCAAAAGATCCCCTTTGGCCATGTTGCCTTCAAAGTACTTCCTCTGGGTTTCCCCTCTTATGTGACTTTGACCCCTAGAGAATACAGCCGCCCACCTCCTTCTTCTCCCTATTTATCATGCATAGTTGATTCTGACTCTAGTTTGAAGCTATCCAGCAATATCTTTTTTTTTTTTTTAATTTTACTTTAGGTTCTGGAGTACATGTGCAGGTCATGCAGGGTTGTTGCATAGGTGCATACATAACCAGGTGGTTTGCTGCCTCTATGCCCCCTTTGACTATATCCGGCATTTCTCCCCATGTTATCCCTCCCCACCCCCTGCTGTCCCTCCCTTATCCCCACTGCCAACTGCCCCCAGTGTGTGATGCTCCTCTCCCTGAGTCCATGTGTTCTCATTGTTCAACACCCACCTATAAGAACATGTGGTATTTCGTTTTCTGTTCCTGTGTCAGTTCCAGCAATATCTTTTTTAACAAAAATAGTCTCTTCCCACCAAGAAATTCTTGTACTAATTGTTAGGAAAATAAAACCTTTACCAAATATTACATCTGTAGTAGCCAAGACAATTGAAAACAACCTTAATGTCTACTCATAGGGAAACGTTTCAATTATAGGGCATCAATATTATGAAATCACCGTGTCATGGGAACAAGGGATCAAGTTGATTTATATATAAATACATGGAAGGAATTTCAAGGTATACTATTACGTGTATAAACCAAGTTGCTTACAAATATGCATAATATAATTCCATTTATGTTAATAAGTTATACAAACACACATACATATATATATACACACACAGGCACTCAGGGAAAGAGAAAGTGTGGATTCCATGTGAATGGACTGGGGAAGCTAACTAGCAATATTCTAAGACCTGAGAAAATTAGGAACAACTTTCTTCCAAGGAATAGATCTGTGATTCTCAAACTGGCAGTGTTGTGAGTTGAACTGTGTCCCCGCAAAAGACATATTAAAGTGCTAATCCCTAATATCTCAGAACATGATTTTATGTGGAAACAGATGGTTCCAGATATAATTACTTAGGTTAAGACAAGGTTGCACTGGATTCGGGTGAGCAATATGATTAGTCATTAAAAGAAAAAGGCCCCATAAAGGCAGAGACACACAGGGACACCACCTTGTGATAGCAGAGGCAGATGCAAGTGATGCAGCTGCAGGTCAAAGAACCCCAAGGCTTGAAAATCCCCATTGGAAGGCAAGACGAGGCAAGGAAGCATTCTCCCCTACAGGCTACAGTAGAAGTGTGGCCCTGCCAATAATTTGATTTCAGTCTTCTAGCCTCCAGAACTGTGGATCAATAAATTTCTATTGTTTTCCACTGCATTTGTGGTACTTTCTTTGGCAGCCCTAAGAACCTAATCCCTGTATCCCTAATACAGGGATATGTACCGCTTGCCTTGCTTCTCTTGGTGGCCCAAGATAATGATGTTATCATAATGTTATGATTATGATGTTTTCATAATCTTGGACCACCAAGGGGAGCAAGCAAGGGGTACATATCCCTTGACTCAGAATTTCACTTCTAGGAATCTTGACATATAAATGTGACCTAATTAAAACAGAATCAAGTCATACTTCCATCAAAACTTATAATTATCCCATTTCATTCTGAGTAAAGGCAAAGTCCTTACAGAGACCTATAAATCTTACATGATCTGGGTCCTCGTTGGCTCTGAGGCTGCATCTCCTGCTCTTCTCCCCCTTGCTCAAGCACTCCAAGAGGCCTCACTTGGCCTCCTACCTATTCCAGACCATGCCAATATGCCAAATATGCTTCCACTTCTCCACACCACACGGCCAGCTACCTTACTTCCTTCA